CTGGGACTAGTTGTGAAAGTCTTTTAATACCAAATAGGAGAATTCCTATTTGACTTTAGAAGTAATAGGGAGCCAACAGAGTTTATTCAGTAGGGAAATGACATAGTCGGATATGTACATAAGGAAAATTAATTTGGCAGCTGAGTGATGGGTGACTTGAAGGAAAAGACTTGAAGAGGGGAGATCAATGAAGGAGTAATGATCACGGGTGGTGGCTACATGAATAGGGAGAAAGAGAAAGATGCAAGAGATATGGAGACAGAAACAAAATCTGGCATCTGATGGGGTCAGCAAGGGTAAGAGGTTAAGGAAACATCAAGGTTTTGAACCCAGTGGCTAGAAGAATGGTGGTACTCTGGACAGAAAAAAGCAAGTTTAGAAGAGAGATGGGTTTGAGAGAAAACATAATGAACTCTGTTTTAGAAATGCTGAGTTTGAGCTTCCTATGGAACATCCTTGTGGATGTTCAGTAGGTAGTTGGAAATACAGGTCTGGAGATGCATGAAAATATAGCTCAGGAGATAGATCAAAGTCAGAAATATAGATCTGGTAATCTTTTGCATAAAGACAATAGTTGAACCCATGAGAGCTCTGAGATCATAGAAAAAATGTACAGAGAAAAGAAAAGAGATCATAGAACTCTTGGGCACATCTATGTGTATTTAACTCATTAAACTTGAATTATTTTACCTAGATAAGAGTCAAAGAGCACAAAATAGCTTTCTTCCAAATATCTGAAGCCCATCATATGGAAGAAGGATTAGTTGTTCTTCTGGGCCCAGAGTGTAGAACCAGGAACAGTGGGTGGAAGTTGCAAAAGAGACAATTTAGGCTTGATAGAAAAATAATTTAGAGCTCTCTATTGGGTTCCTTTTATGTGAGGTCTTTAAGTAAAGACCAGATTACTACTGTTTACATTACAAAGGGGACTGTTTTTCAGGTACTGTTTGGACTAGAAAATCTCTGAGATTTTTTTCTGACTCTAAAATCCTGTGTCCTGGGGGCAGAGCCAAGATGGTGGAGTCAAGATGGCAGAGTAAAAGCAGTGAGCTGCTTGAGCTCTCCGCAAACCCCTCCAAATACCTGTAAAATATGACTAAACAAATTCTAGAGCAGCAGAACCCACAAAAAGACAGATAGAAACAAATTTCCAGCCCAAGACGACCTGGATGGTTGATAGGAAAGGTCAGTTGCTCTGGGCTGGGAGATGAACGTAGTTCAGTGTGGGCCACGTAGGCAAAGATGGGGCCAGAGCAAACCTGGAGCAGGCCTCAGGAGACTAAATCACGGGCAGCTGTGGTGGTTTCCAGACTTGTCAACCCACAAATGCCAAAGACAACTCAGAAGGTCAGTGGGAAAGGTCTGCTGGACCTGGATGAGAGAAGAGCACCTTCTAACCCTGGCCCTAGCCTGGCCATGGCAGCAGGTGCTCTTGGCCCATAGATGGTGTGGTGATCTAGTGGCTGATCAGAGGGGGATTGCAGTGATCTCTTTGCTAGCACTAAGGCAGGATTCTCCTTCTTTGCCTGTGCTTGGATCTGGATCACAGTTCTGGGTGATGGTACTGGGGCACTGGTGTGGCAGAGCTTGAGGTAGCAGAGGAGAGGGAATCCTCCTCACAGTTCCAAGGCAAAAAAGACTGCTTGTGGTCACTCATAGAGCAGAGCACAGTCCAGGAAAGGAGTAAACACCTTGCCTTTGATCATACCATCTTGGAAGAACTAAAAATGTATAAGTCACTAGAAGTATCTCTGAAAACAGCTGCACAAAATGCCTGAAGCTTGGGACAGTACAACCTCCACACTGGAAGAAGAGACCTACCTTAATAAAGAGTTAAAAAGTCAAGTGACTGGTTAAGAACATGAACAAACAACAGAAAAAACTCAGACTACAGAATTTTAGTTTGGTGACAAAGATCAAAACATACAACCAGAAGCAGACAACACAGTCAAAGATCCTACATCCAAAGCCTCTAAGAAAAATGTGAATTGGTCTCAGACCACGAAGAGCTCAAAAAGAATTCTGAAGAACAAGTAAGTAGAGGAAAAACTGGGAAGAGAAATGATGCAAGAAAAGCAACAGCCTGCTAAAGGAGATCCCCCCAAAATACTGAAGAAAATAACACCTTAAAAAATAGACTAACCCAAATGGCAAAAGAGGTCCAAAAAGCCAATGACAAGAAGAATGCCTTAAAAAGCAGAGGTGGTGAAATGAAAAAGGAGGTCCAAAAGCTCACTGGAGAAAATAATTCCTTAAAAATCAGAATGGAGCAAATGGAAGCTAATGACTCTTTGAGAAATCAAGAAATTACAAAACAAAACCAAAAGAATGAAAAAATAGAAGACAATGTGAAATATCTCATTGGAAAAGCAACTGACCTGGAAAACAGATCCAGGAGAGAGAATTTAAAAATTATTGGACTACCCGAAAACCATGACCAAAAAAAGAGCCTAGACATCACCCAGATAATATCAGGGAAAACTGCCCTGACATTCTAGAACCAGAGAGCAAAACAGAAATTGAAAGAATCTACCAATCATCTCCTGCAAGAAATCCCAAGAGGAAAATTCCTAGTAATATTATAGCCAAATTCTAATGTTCCCAGGGTCAAGGAGAAAATATTGCAAGCAGCAAGAAAGAAACAATTCAAGTATTGTGGCAATACAATCAGGGTAACACAAGATTTAGCAGCTTCTATATTAAGGGATTGGAGGACTTGGAATATGATATTCCGGAGGTCAAAGGAGATAGGATTACAACCAAGAATCACCTACCCAGCAAAACTGAGTATAATCCTTCAGGAAAAAAAATGGGCATTCAATGAAATAAGAGTACTTTCAAGTGTTCCTGATGAAAAGACCAGAGCTGAATAGAAAACCTGATTTTCAAATACAAGACTCAAGAGAAGCATAAAAAGGTAACAGGAAAGAGAAATCATAAGGGACTTATTAAAGTTGAATTGTTTACATTCCTACATGTAAAGATGATATTGGTAACTCAGGAGACCTTTCTCAGTATTAGGGTAGTTGGAGGGAATACATATATGTGTGTGTATGTGTGTGTGTGTGTGTGTATATATATATATGTGTGTGTGTGTGTGTGTGTATATATGTGTGTGTGTGCGTGTGTGTGTATATATATATACAGACAGAGGGCACAGGATGAATTGAATACGAAGGGATATCTAAAAAATAAAACTAAATAGTGAGAGAGAGGATTGTACTGGGAGAAGGAGAAAGGGAGAGGTAGAATGGGGTAAATTATCTCACATAAAAGAAGCAAGAAAAAGCTTTTATAGTGGAGGGGAAGAGGAGGGAGGTGAGAGGGGATGAGTGAATCTTCCTGCTATTTGGGTATGGAAATCTATCTTACTCTACAGGAAAATAGGGGGAAAGGGAATAAGAGAGGGGGGATGATAGAAGGGAGGGCAGATTGGGGGAGGGGCCAATCAGAAGCAAACTCTTTTGAGGAGGAACAGGGTCAAAGGAGAGAATAGAAAAGGGGGGCGGGATAGGATGAAGGAAAATATAGTTAATCTTTTACAATATGACTATTATTGCAAGTGTTTTGCATGACTACACATGTATAACCTATATTGAATGGCTTACCTTCTCAACGAGGATCGGTGGAGAGAGAGGAAGAGAGAGAATTTGGAAATGAAAGTTTTAAAAATGAATTTTAAAAATTGTTTTTACATGCAACTGGAAAATATGACACATGGGCAAAGGGGTACAGAAACCTATCCTTCCCTACAGGAAAATAGAAGGGGAAAGGGATTGGGGGAGGGTGATAGAAAAGAGGGCAGATTGGGGAAGGGGTATTAAGAATGCACGCCATCTTGGGCTCGGGAGGGGAGAGATGGGGAGAAAATTTGGAACTCAAAATCTTGTGGAAGTGGATGTTCAAAACTAAAAATAAATTAATCAATTAATTAAAAAAAAAATCCTGTTTCCCTATGGCTGCAGGGCCAGGGAAGAAAAAGTAACAGGTTGCTAGTTCTTTGCCTCTTTAGCTGCTGCTGGATGAGGTTTCATTTCCACCACTGTCATTCATAGGGAACTCACATCCTAGTTTTTAGCTGCCTCAGCCCACCTCTGCCACTTAGTCAGCTCTAGCTCACTCTCCAACCCCATAAACATACAGCTGTTTGCCTCAGGCTTTGTTTCCTAACCATTTAATCCTAATCTCTTCATTTTCCCTCTAAAATCTTGTCATTTGTACCTTTAAAACATCTCTCACATGTTTCCTTCTTTCCATTCGTACAGGCCCCCACACTGATGCAGGTTCCCATCTCCTCATAACTAGACTATTACAATAGCCTTCTGGATGGTCTTCCTGCCTCAAGTCTCCCCCTACTCCAATCTATCTCCCACTCAGTTGCCAAAGTGCAAGTCTGACCACAGTCACCTTCCCTACTCAAGAGGATGAAGTACAAAATTATGTATTTGGCTGTATTATCTGTTGAAGTACAATAAGAAGTTTATTAAGAGAAATGAACAAAGGTGATCCCTGTTAAAAGGATTCAGTGAAGCAACCTCCAATCCATTTAATAGCCCATGTGCCATAGCAAGTGTATTGTATTTGCAAGTCAAATTGTATTTGACACCCTCAACTTCGGTTCACACTAAGTCCTTCCCTATGCCAAAGCAGAAGTTAGGTTTGCATAATGTTGCCTGAGTTGTCATCCAGAATATAGGACCTTCCTTAAGTACTCTTCCTCTCCTTTCCTTATCCAAGGATGAAGTTTTAAGACTTCCATTATCATATATCAAGGATCCTTACAACTACTTGAAAGAACAAGAGGACATAGTCAAATTGACCATATTTTGACCAAACTGAGCACATTTAACACTGGATAAGCTGGAGGGAACATGATTCTGTTTATCAGATTCTGGTAACTGCACCTGGTGCTACTAAGTACACTCCACCCCCACCAAGAAGCCTCCTGGAGTAAGGAATATTGTTCATTCTCTTGCACCATCTAGAATAAGTTTTCTTACCTTTCAACAGCCCAGTGAAAGAGGGGTCTGCTGTCCTGTGGGGATAAGTAGCTGCAGATGTTGGATAATCCCACAACTCGAACAGCAAACAATGACCTCAAGCTCTGCTAACGCAAAAAGGGAAAAGATGAGTCCTTTGGATATTTCTAAAGTCTTGATTTAAATTAATATTTAAGTTTAAAATAAAGCATTAGTCAGACTCAATTTACTAATTTTCTTTTCTATAAAAAGTATAGCCTATGTACTGAGGTTATATCAGACAACACATTTTCAAACTGTTTCCTTTCTAGAAGGGAAATATTTTTCACTTGATCACTTTAGTTATAATGGTGAACTGAAGTAAATACTTGTGCAATGATTATGTTCTGTACTGTAATTCAATAGAACGGTAAATGCTTTTGCCATACTTTATTAGAAAAGCAACCACTCTAACCCCCAAACAATAGCAATTTGTATTGTTTTCATTTGTTTATTCTTGATATTTTCATCCAATAAGAAGCTGAAGATTACCCCATTTATGCAATGAAGACAATGTCATGTAGTAGAATAAGACAGTAAGGTATACTGTCAAGAGCACTTCACCAGAAAACCGAACACCTAAGTTTCTATTTCCTACTTTGTACCACTAACTAGGGAAAGAGCTAGCAACCTGTTGTTAGTAGTGCAAAGTTAGTAGTACAAAGACGTGTGGATCCTAGTCAAGTCACTTAACCAATAAGAACATGCCTCAGATATTTCCTCTGAAAGGGTTGATCTAGATAACCCCAAGGTCCGACCCCGTTCTAAATCTCTGATAGAGAAGTAGCCTGGACCAAGCAACCTCCTAAGAAGATTCCCTCTACCTTCTAGAATTTCTGATTCTGTAGCATAAATTAAAATTAAAAAAAAATTTTTTTATTATGAACTTAACAACAGCAAACATGAACATTTCATCATACAAAGAACAGAAAAGGCTTGCATATGAAACTGTCAACTTCTATTACAAATATTTTTTGGGGAAATATATATTAAATTTAACACAACAGTAATAAACCTGCCCTGCTTCTCTTGTGTCTCCTTCTTAATATTACTTAATATCACTTCCGTGCATTTTTTAAATGCTACAAGGACTTCTTTGATATTTCATGTAATTTCATGAATATAGCTATTTCCGCCATACATCCCATTGTTTTACTCATTTCTTTTTATGTTAATAATCAGAATAGCTATCTCTGTGGTTGCATTTATCAAAGAATTTTGTATAACTTTAACATAGGCATGAAAAGTTCTTGGAAGATATCTTTTAAAGATATGCTTTGCTTTTCCAGGCAATGAATTTTTCCCTTGTAAATCAACAAAAAATAAACATAGTGGGATCTCCTCCCACAGCTTTCTTTATGGATGGCACTTGAATATGTAGGTATTAAGCCATGTATATAATAAGTGCTAAACAGCGTGCCCCTAAATTCTTTCAAATAAACACACACACACACACACACACACATATATGTTTATGAAAGCACTTATAATTACAATACCTAATATACCATTTTAAGATGTATGTAATACTTTACATAAATTTACTGGGTGCATGAACCTAGGCAAATCACTAAGCTGTCAAGCCCCAGGGCAATATGGTTACAGAGCAGGCACAAATCGACAGAGGGAATTCTTTCATCAGGAGTTCTCTAATCCAGTGAAATAATAGGTCTGGTCCAAAAAGAGAGGAGAAAAAGAAAAAAAGAAAACTCACAAAAATAAGTACTTTAAATTCTCACCAGAAACTTTTGCTAAAGAAATAAAAATGGAACATATTTTCCCAAAAATTTATTCCAGTAGAATTTAACTAGATACAAAGGAGGGGGAAGGGTATATCTGCTCTGTGTGTGTGTGTATGTAGGGTTTGCATTGAAAACACATGAGATAAGCTAAAAAGGTAAGTTGGGTCTATTTTATAGAAGGGACTGAACATCAGACTACATTCTCAATCTAGCTAAATAACAAGTTCCTTTCATTAATTCTGAAATGGCAAGCCCATGAATGGGGGTGGATGGAAAGAGATCAGAGATTCATCAGGTAGAATGAAGAGAATAAAACTTCAGAACTGGATGGGTCTCAGAGGTGATCTAATCCAACTCTTACCTGAAGGGGAACCTCCTATATAACAGAGATTTGAAGAATTTGAAAAAGAAATTGTTTTGGGGGAAAAAAGGATCAAACTGTAAGACATACTTATCAGATAAGTGGGAAGCCTCAAAAGTGGCATTCAGAAGAGAAGTAGTACTCAATAATGTCCAGAAAGACCAGAGCAGAGTATTTGCTTGGGTAAGGGATCCAGGGAGTGATAAACAACTCAAGTAAGTTAGATAAATGTAAGGAGCTAAGTTTTGACACAAAACTTAAGGACAGCCCTGGAAGACAGTTTAAAAAAAAAAAAAACTACATAATCCAAGGATGGAGGTGAAAGGTGAAAAACAAGCAAGCCAGCACAGCAAATTACAGCAACATCCTGAAAAAGCCTGAATAAAAAGTAATCTGCATCTAGCTAGTTGCTCCACTATCTGTCTATAGTTTGCCACCACACCCATCATCATAAAGTAGTTCTGACCCTTCATTATGTTGAAGAGATCCTTGAAAGAAGAGAGACACAGAAGAAATGCAAGGGAAGGATAATTTCTTCCTTGCCCTGCCAATGCCCGAAACACAGAGGAATGTTCTGCTTGAGGTGTGCTACTTAAGCATCTCTTATCACCTTCTAACACGTATAGCTCTGACTACTCACAATCATAGAAGATGTACCCAACTTGAAAACTTTCACTGCCTGCCATTTTGTTCCCATATGCCCAACTTAAAAATATATTTGATATCCATAAATGGCATACTAAATGTGGTGAAAATTAGTTATTTTCATAAGCTGCAATGGAACAAAGACAAATACAAAATACTAAGCAATCTGATCAAAACCATTAAAGTCAATTAATGATATTCATTCCTGGTGTTGTGTTCTACATTAAAACTAAGAGAAAAAAATCAAGAATTTATCCAAATTCTTTAAATGCCAAATGAGGAAAAATAAATATAGATACTAAGTTATTGCCATTAATTAAATTCTTTAAGCCAAAAATTACATGAACAAAAATGACAAACTTCTTCTTGTCCCAATAGGATTAAGGGTAGCTGAAACCTGTTTTCTAAGCGTAATAGTAAAAATAATAACAATAACTTATAATTGATTCAAGGCTTTAAGAGAAATGGTTCTATTTCTTTTATTCAAAAAATGTTTAAAGTGCATAGACTTACAGGTATTACATAATGATTCATTTCAAAATTTTCTAATATACAGTAATATATAATATATAAATAGCAATATATAAAGTATATATTAATATATAAAGCCTCACCCCATGAACTACCTGTCTAATATCTGCTACCACATATATCTGACAGTAAAAGTAAAATGTAATAACAGATTTAATTTGCATACAAATAATTATATATACATCTTAGAAGAAACAAGCAAGATAAAATATCTTATAATACCGTTCTCTATAGAGTAAAAATTAGAGTTGTTTCTTTATTTAAAATCATAAGATAATTTTTTGCCCTAAGATGAAAAAAGATACTCATTCTATATATTGTCTCACTCCAGTAATACATGTTACACACACACACACACACACACACACACACATACACACACATTTAATGAGAAAATTGCTGGTGCAGTTTTCTCATTAGATCTCCATACCTAGGATTCATTTTTAACTTAGATAATAATTGTATCACTAGCTAGATCCCAATCGCATAAGGCCCAAACTATTATTGTGTTATTATACACTCTTTAGCCTTGCTAAGCCAGTAGCTGAGAAGCTATTTGATATTTTTCTATTTTCCCTGCTCTGGCCAATTGAAAGATAGAGTATATATTCTGAGAATATATATTCTCAAAGGGCACAGTATAGTTCTTATGATCCAAAATCAGAAAGTCTGGTTACAGTGTCTCTTCGATTACTGAATCAGTCAAATTTATCTGCACTTCAGTGATTTCTAGCACACTAATAGCCTTAATCAGTCTATTTAAAATGGCATCATGAGTATGGCAGAAACTAGGCACAGACCAAAATCTTATACCCTATACCAAAATAAAGTCAAAATGGGTTCATGATTTAGATATAAAGGCTGATACTATAAGCAAAGTGGGAGAGCAAGGAATAGTTTACCTGTCAAGATTTATGGAGAACAGAAGAATTTATGACCAAACAAGAGATAGAGAACATTATGAAATGCAAAATGGATCATTTTGATTACATTAAATTGGAAAGGTTTTGCATAAACAAAGGCAATGCAACCAAGATTAGGAGAGAAGCAGAAAACTGGGAAAGAATTTCTACAAACAATGTCTCTGATAAGAGCCTCATTTCTAAAATACATAGAGAACTAAGTCAAATTTATAAGAATACAAATCATTCCCCAATTGATAAAATATCAAAGGATATGAACAGGCAATTTTCAGATGAAGAAATTAAAGCTATCTATAATCATATGAAAAAATGCTCTAAATCACTATTGATTAGAGAAATGCAAATCAAAACAACTCTGAGGTACCACATCACACCTATCAGATTGGTCAAGATGACAAAACAAGAAAATGATAAATATTGGAGAACATGTGGGAAAATTGGAACACTAATGCATTGTTGGTGGAGTTGTGAACTGATCCAACCATTCTGGAGAGCAATTTGGAACTATGCCCAAAGGGCTACAAAAATGTGCAAACTCTTTGACCCAGCCATACCACTTCTAGGGTTGTATCCCAAAGAGATCAAAAGAGAAAAGGAACCATATGCACAAAAATATTTATAGCAGCTCTTTCTGTGGTGGCAAAGAATTGGAAATTGAGGGGATGCCCTTCACTTGGGGAATAGCTGAACAAGTTGTAGTATATGAATGTAATGGAATACTATTGTGCTATAAGAAATGATGAGCAAGTGGACTTCAGAAAAACCTGGAAAGATTTGTATGGACTGATACTGAGTGAAATGAGCAGAACCAGGAGAATGTTGTACACAGTAACAGCCATGTTGTACGATGACTAACTCTGATAGATTTAGCTCTTCTCAGCAATGCA